TGGTGCCCCTCGACACAGGGGACACAGGCAGGGCCAGGGCCCTGAGGAAGGGGAGGTAGAGACCGGGGGAGACCAGACACAAGAAGACGGGAGGCCATGCCTCTGAGCCGAAGCAGAGAGGGGTGACCAAGGCGGTGGTGCCAGAGGAGGGTCTCGTGAGACAGACGGTGACACGAACAGGGGGCAGACTCAGGACCAGACCTGGACGCTGCAGCAAACACCTGACCAGACGAAGGGACTCTACCAGACTCAGCACCTGGAGGAGAAGCAGTGGTCAGTGTGTACAGGCTCCACCCTGGCTGACGTGTAAACGTAGCCAGGTTTCGACCCGTGCTAGCCTCTGTGCAGTGCGTCACTCGCTGACGAGCAGGGGTGAACTGGTGGACTCCCGCATCCTGTAGGTCAGCACCACTCACCAAGTTCGTAGAGAACGAGGGGAGGTAGAGACTAGACAGGGTGCCAGAGGGAGCCGCGGGACACGGGAGGACTGTGGAGAAGCGAGACAGGACAGGACCCCCAGAGGGGTCAGCCAGGGAAACCGCAACCGGCCGACTAAGCGGCGTAAGTGTGGTGCGGTCCCGAAAGAAAGAGCGAGACGCTCCAGAGTCAAGAGTGAAGGTGTGGGAGGCCGAAGCCGACGCAGTACCTGAGAGCGCAGACGCACTAGTACCTGAGAGAGCAGTCTCACGAGCACCTGAGAGCAGAGACGCACTGGCACCTAGAGCAGAAGCCTCACCGGCCAAAGCAGCGCTGGGCGGGGTGGGCACCCCCACACTGCTCTCCAGTGCGGTCGCCAGTGCGGAGAACGTAGGTGCAGGGACCAAAACCCCCACCGCGCTGACGCTGCGTGTACCACTCACGGAGCTGCTGAGGGGTGGGGACGTCGCGAGAACGTTGCTGCTGCTGCTGCTGCTGCTGTTGGCGCTGACCGCCACCAGTGCCGCTCCGCTGCGAAGCCCCACTCCGACCACCTCCACCTCCGCCACCCCCGCCTCCACCTCCACCGCCCCCGCCTCCACCTCCACCGCCGCCACCTCCGCCACCTCCGCTACCACTGCCACCGCCGCCGCCACTCCCGCCGCCACCGCTGCCTTTAGCACCCCCACCCCCACTACCACCTCCACCGCCACCCCCACTCCCTCCGCCGCCTCCACCTCCACCGCCACCGCCCCCACTGGCCCCACCCGCTCCCTTGCCCCCCTTGCCCTTGCCAGAGCGGCGTCTCCCGCTAGGGGCAGACGCCGCACCGACCGACTCAAGACCAACGAGGTGGGCCGCAGCGGCAGAGGCGACAGAGGGCAGGAGAGGGGAAGGAGAACACCCCTCAAATATGGGGGCGCGGGGGTCACCTCGAGAGGCTCCTACAGCAACTATGCTCTTCTCTGCTGCAAGAAGGGCCTTCTCGAGGCTGTCGACGGTGAGGGTAGTGGGACAGACCGCAAGGAAGTGGTCCCGGACTACACGAAGGGAGTCAGGGAGGCGAGTGACTAGGAAGTAGAGAGTGATGTACATGGGGGGGGGGGTTCTTGGCGCAGAACTCAGCAGGAAGTGCAGCGCGGTAGCGAGTGTCACTAGTGCGGAGGTGTGTGATGAGATCAGCGACAGTGGGAAAGGCGGCAAGGTCAGGGAAGAGGAAGGGGAGCATGAGGCGGCTCAGTGCAGCAGTGGCAGGGGAGGAGTAGCGTGCAACTACAGCGTCGTTCAAGGTCTGAGCACTCTTGTACTGACTAAAGTGCGCGCGCTCAGCAGTAGGCAGGTGGCGACGCACAGCAAGACGTGCAGCAGCATCGCGCGTGGCCCACTGAGAGCGAACAGTGGCGTCAGCATCAGCAGCAGGGGCAGGGACGGCGCCAGAGGTGAGGTCAAAGAGAGACAGACCGTCGGCCCTGTCGCACTGTAAAAACAGCTGCAGGTCGTCGAGCCAGACCTCAAAGTCAATGGCTCGACCCTCAGCGTCAAAAGCGAGGACAGTGGGTGTAGCCATGACGACGACAGTGGCGCAGTGCAAGCAGTAGGGGAAGGGTACGCAGTGTCAGCAGTGCAGTGCTCACCGGGCAGGGCAGGTCGGGCGGCTCGGGAGGAAGGTCGCCTGGCGACACGGCCGCTAGGCTGCTGGGCGGCTCGGCTCCCGAGCGGCTCGGCTGCTGCTGGGCGGCTCGGCTGCTGCTGGGCGGCTCGGCGGCTCCTGGGCGGCTCGGCTGCTGCTGGGCGGCTCGGCGGCTCCGGGCGGCTCGGCTGCTGCTGGGCGGCTCGGCGGCTCCGGGCGGCTCGGCTGCTGCTGGGCGGCTCGGCTGCTGCTGGGCGGCTCGGTGGCTCCTAGGCGGCTCGGTGGCTCCTGGGCGGCTCGGCTGCTCCGGGCGGCTCGGCTGCTACTTGGCCGCGTAGGTAGGGCGGCCGGGCGGGCCGCAGGTAGGGCGGCGGGTAGGCCGCAGGTAGGGCGGCGGGACGGCCGCAGGTAGGGCGGCGGACGGCCGCAGGTAGGGCGGCGGGTAGGCCGCAGGTAGGGCGGCGGGACGGCCGCAGGTAGGGCGGCAGACGGCCGCAGGTAGGGCGGCGGGAAGGCCGCAGGTAGGGCGGCGGGACGGCCGCAGGTAGGGCGGCGAACGGCCGCAGGTAGGGCGGCGGGGAGGCCGCAGGTAGGGCGGCGGGTGGGCCGCGACAGAGTGGCGGGGCCGCTCGAAGGAGTGGCGGGGCCGCGACGAAGTGGCGGGGCCGCGCGAAGAGGTAGCGGGGCCGCGACTGGGTGGCGGGGCCGCGACGGAGTGGCGGGGCCGCTCGAAGGGGTGGCGGGGCTGCGACGGAGTGGCGGGGCCGCGACGGAGTGGCGGGGCCGCGACGAAGGGGCGGGGCCGCTCGAAGGGGTGGCGGGGCCGCTACGGAGTGGCGGGGCCGCGCGTAGGGGTAGCGGGGCCGCGATTGGGTGGCGCGGCCGCGACGGGACGGCTGGGCCGCTGGCAAGGGCGGCGGGTGGGCCGCTAAGGTAGGGCGGCGGCTGGACCGCGAGTAGGGCAGCGGTCGGGCCGCGAAGTAGGGCGGCGGGGCCGCGAAGGAAAAGGGCGACTCGGAGGGTCGCTAAAAAAAAAAGGCGCGCGCCTCGGGCGCGCTTCGGTGGGCCCTAAAGAACAGTCCCTAGGATGGGACCTGCTCTGATTCCATGTGAAGAAAGGAACGTGAATGAAATGACTACGAATGAAGTGAGTACAAATAGGAAACCCTAGTTGGGTTGTACCCCCTATGGGATACCCCACTATAGCCTACACAAATAAGTAAGCTATAATATTCTGACACCCTTAACCTAATCCAACCATTCTTGTTCTCACATCTTCTACTATGGTATCAAAGCTATTAGTTCCTTAGGACAAGAATTTTAAGAGGGCACACCGTTAGTTCCTGCCCGAATCGCGCCCCTAGGCGCGTCGCGTTTTCATCCTGCCCAAAACGAGACTAGGCACGTCGATTTTCACAGCCTAGCCCAGCTGCCCCGCTGCCCTCGGAAAACAGAAGTTCGAGTACTGCATGCTGCTGACTGGACAAGGCCACGTCACCATCAGCGACACTCGAGAAGCGAAGGGGAGTGTTGGGAACAATAAGTCTTAAGGCGCCTCTGTCGTGTCGAAACTCAGGACACTAGCGAAGCAGTCCAAATCGAAGCATCGCGAGTCAACCCTCGGAGGTTGGGGTAACCGCCTGGAGGTTACGCGAAGGTCAAAGGTCAGCGACCTTTGACTTGACCAATACAGCGCGACAGCAAGGACACACAACTGACTCGACATTGAGCAGTTGCCCGAGTCGCACTGTATCGAATCGCAACAGTAAAACGGTTTAAATCTATCTATTCGTATTCCTTGTACTCTTATATAAACCTTGTATTTGCTTGTTTAATCAACTTACTTTGCTCTCACATACTAGTGCAAGGTGGTTCAACCACTCTGTATTACAACGCTTCCGCTATTACAATCCTACTCAGTCCTTAAACTCTACAAAGATCCTAGGGCTTCTCAGCCCAACAAAGATTACCCTGAAGAGCGTAGAGGGAACCACCCCCAATTTCGTAATGACGCATTACGACGGCAGCACGTGAGTACTAACGACGACCAACACCGCGTCACTCAGTCTCGGGTTATTATATGGGCCATCATAAAAAAGTTTGGAGTTATCACGAGCAGTCACGGCGCTATCACGAACGGTCACAAGACCCGCCAAATCTATCACGAACCATCACACGGGTATTACCCGCCGTCACTCAAAGGCACTAAAATCTATCACGGGTAGTGACACTCGAAAGTTTTCTCTCACAGATGAACCCCGTCATCATTCCGTTGACCCGCCCTGAAACAGTGTACAGGTTTATGGACTATATTTCGGGCTGGGTGTTTTTGTTCTGTATACGCGACCATTTTGGTCGCTAAGATACCTGGTTACGTTTGGTTCGACGTAGCACACATTAATAAATAAAAACAATGAATGAATGTGAACGCATATATACATTGCTAGATTTCACAATTCATTGAATCTGCCTAAATGTTTATCAAGATGATAAACCATCCATGACTTGGAACGCACAATTTATATTTCTTTAAACAACGGATAGAATATACAGAATGAGAATAATCTCACCGTAATACAGTAACACTAGCCGTCAGTTACATACAATACACATATAATAATTTTCACGCCAGCCTATCTCCTTAGAATAGCTTGGACAAACGACACAGCCCAGCGGAGCTTGCGACCCGAGGGCAATTACGAATAATCCTTCTACTGAAAGGCATCTAGTCAGGATGTCATCAACCCTAAACACCTTGTCGCATAGTGTTTAGGGGTTGATGCTATGCGAGGGGGGTTCTAATTTTCTTCCAGATTCTAAATGATAGACCATATTATATACAATCGTGAGATCACGTAATGACTTGCGATTAAACTATCAGGAAGATTCAATGAAATGTAAACGATATGAATATTTATATGCGCTCACATTCATTCATTGTTTATATTTATTAATGTGTGTTACGTCGAACCTAACGTAACCAGGTATCTTAGCAACCAAAATGGTCGCGTATACATGACAAAAACACCCCACCCAACACCTGCAGCCCTGCCATGCCGCCCGCCCCTTGTGTGCCGCCCAACCCTCCTGCTCCTCTTGCCCCTGCTGCCGCCCCAGTTTCCCCTACTCCCCCTCCCACCCCTTGTACTCTCCTCCCTTCTCCTACTGTGTCTGCTGCTACTGTACCTGCTGCTGCCGTTCCCACACCAACTCCACCACCTCCTGCCACACCCCCACCGTCTGCCACACCTCCACCTCCTGCCACCTCTCCCACTACCCCCGTTTGCCCCATCGTTCCCAATCCCCTCGAAACGATTCCCGTTTCCCCCATCCGTGTTCCCCCCATCCGTGTTCCCCCCATTACCGTTCCCACCATGCTCGTCCCCCCTCTTCCCCTTGCCCCCATTCCTGTACTCCCCATGCCCACCTCGCTGTTCCCAATCCCACCGTTCCCACCCCCGCCGTCTTCACCCCCGCTGTTCCCACCCCCGCCGTTCCCACCCCCGCCGTTCCCACCCCCGCCGTTCCCACCTCCGCCGTTCCCACCCCTGCCGTTCCCACCCTCGCCGTTCCCACCCCTGCCATTCCCAACCCCGCCGTTCCCAACCCCGCCGTTCCCACCCCCTCCGCTCCCACACCCCCGCAGTCCCCCCCACCACATCAGCACCCCTAGCCACACCTGGCAGCCCCCCAAGCTACTAGTCCGTGAGGGGCGCGTTCCCCCCAGCAGCAGCGGCAGCTTGAATCTCGGCCAGCTGCCTATCGACGACCTGGGCGTGGGCGCGGCGGGCAAAGAGGGTCTGCAGGGCGGGGCTCATGGCCTAGAAGGCGTGGGCGTCGAGGGGGCACTGCAGGAAGGCGTCGATGGCCGCCATGCGCTGCTCGTCTGTCAAAGAGGGGAGGGCAGCTGAGAAAGTCGGCCTTCAACAACCGTCCTGCTCGTCCACGGAAAAACCGCTCGACAGTAGCAGACGACGTTCACTCCTACGCACTGATCCTGTTCGCCTAACTTATTGGATCTTAACTGCGTTGCCCCATGGCATTCAGAATTTCACCAATCATGTGTTCTCTCGTGACGAACTATATCTTCTGTCTCAAGTTCATACCTACACCCACCACCCGTTCCATTTCCAGTGTAGAGGATGGATAGTCTTCATTTGTTAGAATTGAAAGTACCATGTATCTGTTCGGAGGAGCTAATCTCGTTTCTGATTATCCGGGCTATGAAATCCATAGGAGAACAAACTGGAACTTGCTGCTGGCTTCAGCTGAGATCGAAACGGCCTTATCGGTCTTCAAAGACTCAGTCATTAAAGCCAGAGTCTCATGTAAGCAAAACAACATCAACTGGAAAATAGTTGATGCTATGTTACCTAGTTAGTGCAGGCCAAGTTGTCTCTGGTTTGGTGAGAAACTCAACCACTTCATTGCCCCACAAGCAATTGCAGAACAAGTTTTGCGTACATGCGACTTTCAATGAGTTTGGAGTATTTTAGGTTTGGCTGTAAGGTTCCGATGCACCCAGCGATTTGAGTTCGCTTCGCACCCCTCGCTGCACCCCTCTTCAAACTTTTCACCTCGCCAGCCAATCACAGCCAATTTTTCACTGTCAACTGCCAAACCCTTATATTACATGTGACCTTGGTTTTAAGGACGTTCGCGAATTACAAATTCAGACTTGACCCCGAAAGAACTATGTTCCTACACTTCAACGTCTGGCTAAAAACCCGAATCTAATTTGGTAAACCTACACATAAAAACCTCGGATTGACTTTGATGTGTCGAGACTTCTATAGAGATAAATGCCTACAACATCTTCTTAATGCTAATGTCTACAAAGAATACGCTGTTAGAAGATGTGAGAACAAGAATGGTTGGATTAGGTGAAAAGAGGGGGGTACAAGGAGAATGTCAAGATGATTTCTGTACCCCTCGCTGCACCCCCCTTCAAACTTTTCACCTCACCAACCAATCACAGCCAAATTTTCAATGTCAAATGCAAAACACTTGTATTACATGTGACCCTAGATTTTAGGGCCATTTGACAAAGTTTGAAGAAAGAAAGAGGGTTGAACTAGCAAGAATGAGGATACAAATAGCAAACCCTAGAAGGGTTGTACTCGCTATAGAGCACCCCACTACAGGCTAGAACATAAGATAATATTCTGGCACACCCCCATAGCCAAAGTGGGGTGTAATCAGCAGAGCAGGCAAAGCAGTACAAGCTCAGGGTGGATCACAATGTCACCACACAATCTGAGCACAAGTTCAAGAAGAAATAGTTTAGAGTTCACAATTATGAGCAAAGCTAGTGGTAGTCACAACGGGCAAGTGAGGAGGAGGAGAGAGAGTGAGGGGAGAGGAGATAGGAGGCGACGGCTGAAGCTGCAGACACACGGGCAACAGGAGGCAGACTGGCACAGCGGCTACCGGACTAAGCGCCCGGACTACAGGAGTAACAGGCCCCGCGGCTAAAGTAGCGGCAGACGAGCAACGGACCCACGGGCGGCTGGCGTAGAAGTCTAGCTCACTGGGCTACCGGGACAGCGCCCCGGACTACAGGTGCTGCGGACAACAGTACGGCAACCTCCATGCAGCTTCCCCAAACAGTCCCACCCCCCCGACACGCACCCGCTGCTACACCGCTAGCTCCACTCCCACGCACCCCCCTTAAACCCTAAACCCCAGTCTCCCACACAACCACCCCCCTCAGCGACAGCTGCAGCAGTGGGAGACGAAGGAGGAGGAGGAGCAAAGGGAGGAAGGCACACCGGCCACCCCCATACCCGACACCCCACCGCGACGGGAAAAGGGGGGGGGGGGAAGGCGGGGACGGGGCCGGGGCCGCGACGGGTAGGGCGACGGGCCGCATGTAGTGCGGCGGTAGGGCCGCAGGTAGGGCGGCTGGTGGGCCGCAGGTAGGGCGGCGAGTGGCCGCAGGTAGGGCGGCTCGCGGGCCGCAGGTAGGGCGGCGGGTGGGCCGCGAAGGTAGGGCGACGGGTGGCCGCAGGTAGGGCGGCGGGTGGGCCGCGAAGGTAGGGCGACGGGTGGCCGCAGGTAGGGCGGCGGGTGGGCCGCGAAGGTAGGGCGGCGGGTGGCCGCGAAGGTAGGGCGGCAGGTGGGCCGCGAAGGTAGGGCGGCGGGCGGCCGCGACGGGTCGGGCAGCGGGGCCGCGACGGGTCCCCGTCGCCCGTCGCGGCGCCTCCAGAAGGCGACGCGACGAACGACGGGGCAGACGCCCGCCGCGCGCCTCGGGGCGCACAGCGGGCAGAGAACCGCCGCGCGCCTCGGAGCGCACGGCGGGCAGAAAACCGCCGCGCGCCTCGGGGCGCACGGCGGGCAGAAAACCGCCGCGCGCCTCGGGGCGCACGGCGGGCAGAAAACCGCCGCGCGCCTCGGGGCGCACGGCGGGAAGGAAAAGTAGCAGCGGAAGCGAGGTGGTAACCCACCCACAGGATCGATCCAAGGGAATCGACCTGCTCTGATAGCATGACAAAGTTTGAAGAAAGAAAGAGGGTTGAACTAGCAAGAATGAGGATACAAATAGCAAACCCTAGAAGGGTTGTACTCGCTATAGAGCACCCCACTACAGGCTAGAACATAAGATAATATTCTGACACCATTCGCGACTTACAGATTCAGACTCGACCCCAAAAGAACCATGTTCGTACACTTCAACGTCTGGCTAAAAACCCGAATCTAATATTTAAACCTGCACATAAAAACCTCGGATTGACTTTGATGTGTCGAGACTTTTATAGAGATAAATGGCTACAACATCTTCTGAATACTACTGTCTACAAAGAATACTATGTTAGAAGATGTGAGAACAAGAATGGTTGGATTAGGTCAAGGGAGGGGGGTACAAGGAGAATGTCGAGATGATTTATGTACCCCCTATAGCTAGCCCCTATACAGCCTACATACAACTAAGCATATATGTTTTGACACACCCCCATAGGCGAAGCGGGGGATAGCCAGAGGAAGCAAGGGTCACAAGTTCAGTCTAGAGAAGAAGCAACGGCCCCGTCGGCCCCGCGCTCACCTCCCGAGAGGCCCCCGTCGGCCCCGCGCTCGCCCTTAGCGGCCCCTTACGGCCCCGCGCTCGCCCCTAGAGGCCCCGAACGGCCCCGCGCTCGCCCATAGCGGCCCCTTACGGCCCCGCGCTCGCCCCTAGAGGCCCCGAACGGCCCCGCGCTCGCCCTTAGCGGCCCCTTACGGCCCCGCGCTCGCCCCTAGAGGCCCCGATCGGCCCTGCACTCGCCCTTAGCGGCCCCTTACGGCCCTGCGCTCGCCCCTAGAGGCCCCGAACGCCCCCCCCCAGAACGAGCCGCCCGACCCGAGCAGCCCGAACCGAGCCACCCAGCCCGAACCGAGCCGCCCGAACCGAGCCGCCCAGCCCGAACCGAGCCGCCCGAACCGAGCCGCCCGAACCGAGCCGCCCAGCCCAAACCGAGCCGCGCCGCCCGAACCTAGCCGCGCCGCCCTTCCCGAGCCGCACCGCCCTACCTCAGTCGCACTGCCTACTGTTTTTGGGGTGCCCCTACTGCTATTACTCCTACTACTGCTATGGCTAGCCCTCCTGTGCTAGCTTTCGATGCTGAGGGCCGCCCAGTGAAGTTCGAAACCTGGCTAGATGACCTACACCTCTTCCTACAGCTCACTGCCAAGGAGGACATCTCACTGTACGATCACGCCCTAGGCCATGCTCCTGCTCCTGCTGCTACTGCTGACAGCACTGCCCGCTCACAGTGGCAGACTCGTGACGCCCACGCTCGCTTCGCTATTCGCAACTCCCTGTCGATAGATGAGCGCGAGCACTTTGGGCAGCACAAGACTGCACAGGCACTGTACACTGTTGTCGTTGCCCGCTACTCCTCACCGGCCTTTGCCGCACTAGGCTGTCTCTCTCTTCCCTACCTGTTCCCCGACTTAGCCTCTTTCCACACAGTCGCTGACCTCATTACGCACCTCCGCACTAGTGAGGCTCGCTTCCGCGCCGACATGCCTGATGAGTTCCTTGCCAAGAACCCACCCCCAATCTGGCTCACTCTCTACCACCTAGTCACCCGCCTCCCTGACACTCTGCGCTCAGTCAGGGACCACTTCCTAGCTCGCTGCCCCACTGAGCTCACCATTGCCCTCCTCGAGAAGGAACTCCTTGCAGCTGAGGCTAGCATAGTCGCTGTAGGTGCCTCTCGTGGCGACCCCCGTACCCCGTTCTTTGAGGGGTGTTCTCCTTCCCCCCTTCTTCCCTCTTTCGCCTCTGCTGCTGCTGTCGACCTCCTTGGTGCTGAGAAGGTCGGGACTGCGTCTGCTTTGAGCGGGCGCCGCAGCGGCAAGGGCAAAGGGGGCAAGGGCGGTGGCGGTGACAGCGGGGGAGGCGGTGGTGGGGGCGGTGGCGGCAGCGGGGGTGGTGGCGCGACTGGAGGGGCTAGTGGCAGCGGTGGGGGTGGTGGCGGTAGCGGCGGGGGAGGTGGCAGGGGCGGAGGCGGTGGTGGGGGTGGCAGTGGACGCGGCGGCGGCAGGGGTTGGGGTGGTCGAGGAGGTGGCGGCGGCGGTGGTGGTCGTGGAGGCACTGGCGGTGGCCAGAGCCAGCAGCACACTCCGTCGCCCCAGGAGCTCCGTGAGTGGTACTCTCAGCACGGGGGGGGGGGGGGGGGGGGGGGGGGGGGGGGGTGGCTTTAGCTGCACGTACGTCATTCGCACTGGTGACCGCACTGGTCAGCCGTGTGGGGGACCGCACGCCACACAGCGCTGCTTCGCTCTGTTAGAGACTAAGGACGGAGTCAATGAAGATTAGGAGCCTAAATTTCTCAAAATCGTTGGCTTGAAATTCTGGACAGAATCGTCGAGTTCACAAGAAACGTCGTCGGCTGAACTTGCACCGTTGGAATTGTCTCAAACTCGA